TTCCCCAGCCCCACTAACGCAGTCTCTTGCTCTGTTTGCAGCCCTGGTCCCAAGAACCGTCCCTCATCCCCTGCCATCCCCAAGAATCGTCCCTCATCCCCTGCCACTCTCAAGAACCGTCCCTCTTCCCCTGCCACCCCCAAGGCCCACTCAGCATCCCTCAGCCCGGCCCTCAGCTCTCCCCACAAGCCACCCCTGCCTCGAAGCACCCATTCCTCCCCCAAGGTGCGGGCCAGGGCCCGGGAGGAGCGGGGAGAGCAGGAGGGCCAGCCGAAGGCCCGTGAGAGGAAGGAGGAGGAGCGGGGTCCGGCACCCCCAGCCCTTTCTGAGCCCCCCAAGGTGCCCGCTGAACCGACAGCAGGTGGGTACAGCATGGTCAGGGAAGCCTCAGGGCTGGGAGAAGCCAGAGCAGCCCTGATACTGCCTACCTCCCCCAGGCCCCCCAGTACATGCAGCCCCCGGCCCTGTGCTGGCCAGCCCCCCAGCCAGACCTCCTGCTGGCACCACGGACCGGGAGGAAGCTGCCCGGCTGTTGGCGGAGAAACGACGCCAGGCCCGGGAGCAGCGGGAGCGGGAGGAGCGGGAGCGCCGGGAGCAGGAGGAGCAGGAGAGGTGGGTGTTGTCCCCCCTGGCCCCCAGCCCCGTCCTCCTGCCGTGCTAAGGGCCCCCTCCCCGCAGGCGGATGCAGGAGGAACGGGCGCAGCGGGCGGCCGAGGAACAGAGCCGGCGGGAGGCCCTGGCACGGCTACAGGAGGAGCGAGAGGCCCAGGAGAGAGCCCGAGCTGCACAAGAGGAGGTGGAGCGGCTGCAGAGACAGGTTGGGGGAAAGGGGCTGAAGGAGATGGGGTACAAAGGCAGGGATGGATTCAGTCTGCAGGGGGATGGAGGAGTGAGAACCAGCCCAGCCTCTCAAGGCCCAGGGTGGCAGGGAACACGAGGCAGGGCAGTGCTGAGCTGTCCAGGCAGCACATCCCCACAGTCCCTGCCCCATCCCTTTCCTCCCTGTCACATCTCATCTGTGTGTCTGTGTCCTGCTGTGACACAGAGGGAAGAAGCTGAGGCGAGGGCACGTGAAGAGGCTGAGCGGCAGCGCCTGGAGCGGGAGAAGCACTTCCAGCGTGAGGAGCAGGAGCGGCTGGAGAGGAAGAAGGTGAGGGTGGGGGCCATCTCCAGGCATGGGGCATGGCAGGTTTTTTCCCTGGAAGGGACCTTGCCTGGCAGCAGGGGCAGGTCTGGGTGTCCAGGGCCATGTGTGAGTCCCTCTGTGACTGCAGCGCCTGGAGGAGATCATGAAGAGGACGCGCAAGTCGGACGTAGCAGACACCAAGGTGAGAGCTTGTCCTCTGTCCCGAGGCACTGGGGACTTGGGGCGCTGCACAGAGTGCTTCCCAGCACTCTGCACAGAGTCCCAGCATTCCCAGCAGAGTGCTGCAGACCCTCACAGCTCTCCTATCCCTGCAGAAGGAGGATGACAAGAAGGTGGTGAATGGGAAAGCAGCCAAACAGGAAAATGTCCCAGGTGTGTGGGCACCCCAGGCCTGCTTCTCCCAGCCATGGTGTGGCCCAAGCCATGGCTGAGCCAGGTTCTGCCATGTCCTCAGGCCGCGAGAAGCACCTGGGGCCAATTCCAAAGGCAGAAGAGCTCCCGGAGATGGAGACCCCAAGTGCAGGGACACCAGGGGGAACGAAGGGCTTGGTGGGTGAGGGGCTGCAGCCAAGGTGAGCACAGGGACACCGGGGGGGGCCGGGGGGCGGCGGGGCTAGGGCTGAGCCCAGCCCTCCCATCGCGCAGCTCCAAGGAGGCAGCAGCCCTGGTGAACGGCATGCAGCCCGGCAAGCACGAGAACGGCTTCTCGGGCACCGAGGGCTCCAAGGAGCTGCGGGATCTCTCCCACCACGGTGGTAGTCCTGGCAGCATCATCCCCTTTGGCGACAAGGAGCCCTTCCTCAAGCAGGCCGTGGTGAAGCCCCCGCAGGTGACAGGTGAGCAGCGGGAGGGTACTGGGGGGACGGCGCTGTGCGCATCCCAAGCTCACGCTGCTCTCCCCACCCGCAGAGGTGCTGTGAGGGCCTGGCCGATGTTCCTAGGGCCACTGCCTGCACCCTGACCCCGGCGGCCCACACAGACCTGTAGCTGTCATCAGAACACGACCCTCACTGCTCCTCTTGGGCGCCCGGGGGCTGTGGGACCCCGGTGAGGACGCCTGACTCCTCTCTTTGTTCTCGTTTTTATTTCGTTTTTTTGTTGGGGTTTTTTATTTTAAATATGCACCTTATCAGACTGACAGCCCACCCTCGCAGCCCACCGGAGCTGCCCCAGACGTGTGGTGTAATGATGTAGTTATTTAACTCGCTGGGTACAACGTCTGTGAATACTGTAAATAGAGCCGGCCGGGCGCGGGGGTGCTCTGAGGGGCTCGGGGTGGGGGCCGTGTCATAGCTCCCTGTCCCCACGTTCCCCCGCATGTCCGTGTGTCCAGTGTCCCCGGGCCCGGCCGGCACCACGCTGCTCTGTGCCCTTGTGACAGTGTTATGCATCCAGACAACCTTTGACAACAATTAAAAGTGGACAATGCCCTCAGCGTGCCTCTCTGTGTCCGGGGAAGGGACTGGGCGGGTCCGTGCCCGCGCCTCGATGCTCCGCCAGGCAGGGCAGGGCACTCT